TCAGTTATATCGTTAATATAAACTAAAAATAATAGTGGACCGAGCACAGACCCCTGGGGTACTCCGGCATTGATATTCTTCCATTGCGAAAACTGACCATCTATGACTACGCGCTGCTTTCTATCCAATAAGTAACTCTCAAACCAACTAAGCAAAGGATCTCTTACACCGATTAACTTAAGCTTGTATAACAGTCCTTTATGCCAGACTCTATCAAAGGCTTTGCTGATGTCGAGAAACACCACTCTTACTTCCTTGCCTAGTTCGAAAGCCTCGTATATCTTATGCGTTAAATATAAAATTTGATTAACTGTAGATTCACCTGGGCGATAACCTGACTGCATAGGATTTAAAAAACCTATGTCAAGTAAAAAATTATAAAATCTCATGAAAACAACTTTCTCAATTACTTTTGATAACGACGCTAATAAAGATATGGGTCTGTAATTTATTTTCAATTGACGATCGACTGTAGTTTTGGATAAAGGAATAACATTAGCCATCTTCCATTGTTCTGGAAAAACGCCAGAGGACAATGATAAGTTAACCAACCGTGTGAAATAACATAGTCCCAAAAATATGCAGGAAATGCCATTTCAGAAGACTTAATTTTTATTATTTTTTCCCAGAAGAACTAGATTTCAATTCACTGAACAGTCTCCCTAAATTTTACCTCCAGTGGTTGGAGGCCCAAGGCACACAGGCTATAACTATGTAGGCATGCAATTTAATATCTGAAAATATGAAATGGGTGGTAACTGCATGGGACAGGCATTAAACAAAGTGTTAACTAATTAGCTTCAAATGTTATGCACCTATCTTCACAGACTAGCACTGTTAGAGTGACATTGTTTCTATGCTTTTTAGGAAATCACAAACAATTGTCCATTTCTCGGTGGAATCCTTCAGCTCTGCAATCAGTTTTTCTTACATAACATGGCAAAACTCAAGTGGCCCAACCGCTTTTAATGTTCACATGTCCAAAGTTACATTCCAGCACTGCACTCTTGAACATGTCAACTTCCAGTTTACTGGCTTAAACACAAACTTATTAATACAAAATACTGCAGTAAGCCACTGTTCCTCACAAAGTACTGAGATCCCATTATTTTTCATGCAGATATTGTACAACTATAGCACTAGTATATTTATACAGAATTCAACATTTTCATATAACAAAAGTCCTATTATTTATGCTATGCAATTTCAAGAAATATTTATGGAGGACACATTGTTTCTCAAAAACGGAAAAGACATTTCCAGTTTGCCATTGCTCACAGTTAGCGGTTCATCTGTGGTTCTGAAAAACTCCATTTTTAACCACACTTTGGGAACATCCATCGAAGTTAAAAATGTGAAAAATTTTAAAGCAAGCAAAGTTGTATTTCTCTCTAACAATGGGTCCATTGGAAGTTGTTTGGTGGTGAAAAGACATAGTAATGTCAGTTTGGTGGATACAATATTCAAACAAAATACAAATCCTGTAGTGTTTGTCAAAGACAATGATGGTATCAATATTTTACTCAAGGTTTGGTTCATTTCTTGCTTTGCCTTTACTCATTTCTTCAATTTTTCCAACTTTTCCAACCTTCCCTTTCTTCCTTTACTTCTTTCCATCTTTCTTTGATTCCTTCTTTTCTTCTACCTTCTTTTCTCCCTTTCAAATCATTTTCCATTTTCCCCCATGTCTCCTCATTTCTTTACATCCAATTTTCAACCTGTATCTTTCTTCCTTTCATGCTTCTACCCATATTCCCTTTTCATTCCCCCCCCCCCCCTTAATTTCTTCTCTTCACACAAAAATTCTATTTAGACGTGTAGCTTTGGTTGCATCCAAAGTAGAGAAGGAATTAATCTTCCATTTCTGAAAGCTTCATCTGGATCCAACATTACCGCCACAAATTGCAGCATTGCAAAATCATGCTCAGGTTTGTTGAGAACATGCATGCAGTGTTGCACCAATTTATATCCTAGAGACAAATCTTCAGTCTCAGTGTAAACACAAGACAAGCTAACTAGAATTAGAACTAGCTAGAAACACGTTACATAATCTTGACAATTGTAAATGGGGACAAATCATGCTAGATGTTTTCCTTATGTCTAATGCCGTATTTACACATCCTAATACTGTTTGCTGTGTTTACCAAGGGCTAGAAAATATATTTCTCTTCCAAATAGAAATTTCCTGTGCAAGTCGAATATAAAACTTCCTGTATCTGTAGATTTCAGAGAACGTATATGGTGCCACACAATGTGTAAACAATTGTAGTGGACAATCTCGACTTACAAAATGCTTTTGTAAACAATAAGAAAATTATATGGCATTCCAGTATATAAGATGACAAACAATTCCTGCAAGATGTAAGAAAATTTCCTGCGAAGATATTTTGTCTAAAATTTTCTGGCAGCGGTGCTGCTGGCGTTGCCAGACATTTTCTATGTCATTTTTCTGTGAGCAGGCTAGACATTTTCCAGCACTGGTATTTACACAGACATATATTATAAGACAAACTATCATTTCCTTGGCCAAGTTCGTCCAGACGAATCATACATCTCTAGGAACATTTTTTATGAAAACTAAATATGCACTTGTCCTTACATCCTGGCTAACGCCGGATGATTTTACTCCAATTTCTATAGTGCATTGCAACAATGGTGAATTGGTAAAGTCTAATCTATATTGTGAAAAATGTCAGCCTGGCAGTTTCTCATACGATGAAACAAACAACATCTTGTCTGATTCCTGCCGAAGGTAGGTTCAAACTGGATGTTGACACTTATAGTTTTACACTTTACACTTCACAACTTTTGACTAAAACTGTCGCATGCAACCTGCGTGCTTGACTTACAGAGTCAGAGAGTACAAGTCAAGCTGTAAGCAGGTTGCATGTGGCAGTTTTAGCCAGAAGTTGTGTGGTGTAAATCGGCCTCAATTATAGCCATACAGATGACACGAAAAACACAGGATTATACGTCTGCATATAACGAAAAGAACCTTTTTGTCACTCTGCAGGATATATAGTGCTCAGTGAAAGAAAAAACTTATTTGCAAAGAAAAAATTTATTTTTACAGTTGCCCTGAAGGGACATACACATCCAGTACTGGAAGTACAAATTGCAGTCTGTGTGGAGAAGGCACGTACGCTCCGAAATCAGGGTAGGATATGTTTTTTTATTAAGAATAATAGCAAACTGTACAAGGCTTTCGATAGGTTTTAGAAAGTGTTCAGTTTTACCATGCAGATGTTGGTCGCCTTTAGAAATATCTACATCTCCTAATTTTATTAAGATTTAAGTGCCATAAAAAGTTGTGTTTTACTATAGGAATGAGCAATGTAAAAAGTGTACCAACGATTTTTTCACATCAGATGCCGGTGCGAAAAGCTGCTCAAAAAGTAGGTTTATCATTTTGATTTTTTGCCATCAATGCACAATTGAGGGTTGCGGCAAGGGTCTTCAATTTACCAGTGAAATCATCAGGCGCAAAAAATCCATTTCATGGCTGAGCGGTTTTTTTCTCGTGTTCTTTTCTAGTGACTCTAGAATTTATTTTAATTGTGGCAGCAACCATTCCACTGATTGTCATACCACTATTCCTGCTATTCGGCAAAATTCTCAAGAACAGAAGTTTAAAATTGACAGCACGGTTGCAGTGTGGCAAAAGATACGACAGATTTGGGCAGAATGTTACGACTAATGCAGTAAAAGACGTGTTTTCGCAAGAAGAAGAGTACCATTAATTAGGGTTTAGTAGACTCGGATGTAAACATGCTTTTGAAGTATGTCGCAGATAACTTATTAAAATGTCGCGTTTCAGTCGTTCAATCTAGTTTAAAACAGATTTAAAAGAAATATACTAAATGTTCAATACTAAATGTTCAAATGTTCAATATACTAAATGTTCTTTAAAAGAAATATACTAAATGTTCAATGGTAGTAAAAATTCAAATTATTAAAACCTACTCAACTGTTTGCATTTTACTCAGAAGTAATTTATTTCCACCGACAAAGTTTCTGACAAATGATTTCTGCATGGTTTGCTCACCTTAGGTTTTGCGTAGCACGGCTAGGAAACAATGTTTCTGTGACTTTTTCCAATGGCCGTTATTTTTTGTGAAAAGCAGCGCATGACTTTCATAGCACTCCTCTTCGATATAATACCAGAAGTTTATTCCTTATGACTATACTGGCATACGTGAAAGGGCATCACTCTTTTATATTGCGGTATAAACCGGCGACTGTTGTTTTGTTAAAAGAACAAACTTCAATTAGCCTGTTTTGAAAAGGTTTCATCTTCTGCACATAAGCTCATGTCTCCTCTTCGACTTCATTAACAATAGGTGAGCCAGGAGGATCTTGAGTCATTTCAGTATCTGCAGGTTGTACTGAGATGTCCTGTTCTGTAGATTGATCCATTTCTTCAGCTGCTTCACTCGAACCAACTTCGCCTTGAGGTGGCCGTGGGATTGATTGCTGCTGCTGGTACTAAGTAAATAATAGCCGTGTCAAATATGACAATAATTATAATAATTAATATATATTATATGTACAAATTGTATGGAGAATGTAATGAAATAACCTGATTTTAACATATTTTCTGATAAATCTGCCCGAATTTTCTTGATTTTTCCTAGCATTTGCTCGAATTTCCATTACCTCCCCCCCCCCTGCCCCTGTCTCGTACGCCTATGGTCATAGAGTACCTGTTGTTGTGCGTTCATTTCAGCGACGATTTCCTGGTACATGTCGTACACAATACGATGCATATGAGGCATGTCTTCAACTGCAAATGGTTCAAATGCTGGACCTTGGTTGTACTGAGAGCAAAGAAAAATATAGAAGATGATGAACAATTTAACCACTTACTGTACAAGCAGTCCATTAATGCTGGTTTATACTATGAAATCGTAGTTTTCGTGATCAAAGTCTGCTTTGCCTTTGATCAATGTGTGTGTATAAAAGCTCTTCACTCTAAAAACATCCTGGGTAAAAATTTCCAGGTTAATCTAAAATTAACACTGTTTAGGGTAACTTAATGTTCCTGGTTACATTTTCTGGTTAATGTAACCACAGTCCTGGTTAATTTGATTACTATTGTGGCTATTTTAACCAGGATTTCTGGTTAATTTAACCAGGCTATATGGCTGAATTAACCAGATTATGTTAGGTGGACTAGTAACCAGGGATTCTTGGTTTTAAATACTCAAGGCTAGTTGATACGATCAGGGTTTCTGTGATCACTGTATGCTTTGGTGAATGTGTCTGACATCTGGTCAGTGTAAATTTCTTTCGAAGACACAATTGTAATTCAAAGCCAGCTTACCGGTCTTGTGGGTGGATATCGTTCACGCATTGCCAAAAGTAGCTTCAACGGTCGTGACGTGAGCTAAAGAATGTTGAAATTTACGTTAGGTCGTGTTACTGAGGATAGTTTGAGAGTAACTTTAGTTTAGGCACAGAATAAGGCACACAGAAGGTCGACACGAGTAACCGCTGCCACGCCATGATTCATCATCAAAATGCTGACGCCATGGTCCTAGCCAGTGCGTGTTTGAGAGGCCCCCTGGACGTCCGCCATTTTGAAAATATCAGGGGGGTGAATGCCTCTCAAACGCGCACTGGCTGCGACCATGGTGTCAGCATTTGATGACGAATTACGGGTTACGCCAAAATCATAGGAAAATCATAGGAAAAACCAAGAAGTCGGCCTTCTGTGTACCTTATTCTGTGGTTTAGGTTTCCTCCTGTAGTAACACCAAACAAACAAGGAATAACCAGTTAATGGACCTCTAGTAGGAACAGTTAAGTTTGAAGGAAAGCACGGGTGGAAGATGCGGTCAGTACGCTGCCTCTTACCGTTAAGCCTGTTACTGTAGGTCAAGGGCGTGGTAAGGCTCCTTTCCACTCATCGCAAAACCCAATTCGCAAGCTCGCTGCGAGTACTTGCATCTAATTAAAACAAACTGTCGAGCATTGTGATTGGATGAAAGTAGTTGCAACCATCTTGCGAGTTGGGTTTTGCGATGAGTAGAAAAGAGCCTTTACCGTATTTGGGTTGGGAGATTATCCTGATTATAATGAGACCTCTGTATGTGATTACTCTGTAGTTTGGATGTGCATTAAGTGCGAAAGAATACCGCCTCACACAATACATACCTGATCAAATGCAGGTGTTAGTTCAAAACAATTTCTGAAGAGATTGGCGCGAGCTAAGACGTACAATCCCAGACGGGCTCGAGACATTGCGACGATAAGCCGACGTACATCTCGGAGATGGCCGATAGTCTTCGTACGAACCAACGAAAGAATGATGTAATCATTTTGTTGCCCTTGGTAACGATCCACTGTCGTAATCTAAAAATAGAATTGAAATGAATTTGGGTCGATTACTTATTATAAAACTTTTAAAACTTTCTGGCTGGAATTTCTCGTAAGCGAGAGACCAATAAAACATCCCAAAATAAGCTGCCACGGTCTTCGTCAGCATTAGTTTAGTAGCCTAAAGTCATATACCCAGCCTCCTTATATCAATCTTGGAATGACGCATACTGTAACCCTCTGGAACATACCTTGGATGGCCATCCTATCATCGGATTCTCACCACAACGTTTTCTTATTACGTCACGTATGAGATGTTTCTGACCGTTGTATGTGGTTAAAATGGCGATCCTTTCTGCAGGATAACCAAGCAATCTCATGTACATAAATATTGCAGCTGTATATTCTGCTTCACCTAGATTCTACAGTGAATGAAAGATACATCAATTATGAAATATTTTGAAATGTAATAATTCAAATTATATACAATACAAGTGTTGGATACTGAACCTGGGCTTCGATTTCGGCATAGTCTGTCAAGATAAGATGGTCTGGAAGCCCGGAAAACATCAAAGCCACAAAATAGAAGCAGTGGCGTAACGTTATATCAGGGGGCCCCCGGTTCAAAATTTTCGAAGGCCCCCCAGTAGAATTGCCAAAGGCACGAGTCGAGCGCTGTATATGCACAAGTTTTCTAGGGGGTCCAGGGAATGCTCATCCGGAAAATTTTTGAATCTAGACTCTCTGAAATGCCATTTCCTGGACTTTGGAAAGAGATTTTACAGAATTCTGATGGTCATAAAACGACATTGTAACATATCAGAGGCCCTGGCCAATGTTTTTGCTCTATCGCCTAAGCCTGGGGGCCCCCATTTGGGTTGGGGGCCCCCGGGTTCTCCCGGTCTGAGCCCATAGTAGTTACGCCACTGAATAGAAGACCTTTGTTTGATGTAGAACTGTACCTCACCGTCCACAAATCCTTTGTCTCATCTTCATTAAATATTGTTTATCGTGGTTGCATGTTTCGTCTTGGACGGTTACTTCATTATACGAGAATACAATGAGCTGGATCACCGTGACCGTTCATAAATTAACATACACTCAGACTTCAGTTTAGTTTCCAAACCATCATATCTTGATAGAATATGATTCTAGGAGCCAGTTGTACGAAGGGACAGTGGTTCTTCTGCCGTCCATGGTGCCATCCAAAATCGCGAATTTCTTTGCGTGACGTAATATTCCCGCGTGATTGCAAGACATGAATACGCGATACACATGCAGCTTACCTGATAAAAATAAGGATTGGGTTCAGATTCTCCCACTCCATTGAAATCTTCCACATTGATGAGTTGAAAGTCGAAGCAAAATCCTGCGTTAGCCGTGCAATACTCCGGCCAGCTGTGCACGTGCTGCAAGTTCCCCAGTTTCTTGTAACGCCAGTTGTACAGGTTACACAGACTAAAATTAAACGCAAATCAATAGAGTACACAAGAGAACATGTCATTTCAGACTTTAGATTACAGAATATAGACGCTGATAGAAAATGTACAGGATAAAACATCCATATATCATATAGTGTTCAGTTTATGAATAGACCTTATGCATAATGACGCCACAAGGCTTGATGCTCACGAGGAATGCTGGTCTTAGTAGTCATCGCCCGCAAAATTAAACAATTCAAAATGGCCACTATCGAAACTTTCCCGTGCGACGACTACATGGACCAGCATTTCTCGCGGACATCAAGCCTTGTGACGTCATTATACTTATGGTCTATTGTTTCTGAGGACCTCAAACTCGTACCCAGGTAGCTCTGGGTACGAGACTGCTCTGATATTTCAACACCGGCCTAAGAAAATTGGGGTGTTAGTGGCAAATTGGTTATAGTCAGGGTTTTTTCCAGGACTTTTTTGAAACTCAATCATGTGATGGAAAATTTAAATGCAGTAAAATTGAAGTTGTTTGGGTTGAATTCCGTGGGCAACTCAAGAAAGTAAGAAAACCACAAACAGCATGGAATTCGTTTCACAGTACAAGAAAAACCATGACCAAGAACGTGAACACACGTACCATCTTCAACTCATTGCAATAATTTAAGTAAAAGACATGTGAAGGTTACATTATGATTCGGGGAGGAGAGGGTAATCGTGCCAGCAGACTCCCTGCTGTATAGGTAATCTTTTGGGCAAAACAGAGTCAGAAAAATAACCTGTACTAGCTTCCGTCGCTGCTGCGTGGAACTTACCTAGGTCTAGCTCGTCCCTGTGCATCAAGATCGACGGTTGGTACGCCAAGACGGACAAATCTCGTGAACAAAGATTGCTCCATGTTGGAGAACTTCTGGAAAGCCATGTTTTTGATAACGGGAGGCAACTACAAGGGAAAGAGTTTAGCATCGAATTCCCATCTGTTCACTTCTTGGATGGCAAAAAAATATTTTTAATCATACAATACCTGATGATGATCACCAATCAAAGTAACTCTCTTCAACCTATTGAAGCCATCTTCAGGCGTCTAAACACAACAGAAAAAGTTTGAACGAGAAGTTGAAACGATCTGGTATGGAAAACTTTGTTGAAGGATTTTGTAGATGGAAATATACTCTTTGGATATTTACGTCACAACTACACTGTTTTCAACTTAGGACCACCTTAAATGGAAAGGATTTCAAGTTTTTTTCTCATGGGCTATGCACAGAGAACAGAGAAGCAGAACATCCTTCTTCAACACATGCATGAAAAAAATTTTGGATTTTGATCAATAAATATGGAAATAAGCATTAAAACGAAAACGAGGCTCCAGGTCATGACCTTGAGCTTCGTTTCCACATTTATTGGTCAAAATAAAGAATTATTTTTCATGCATGTGTTGAAGAAGGATGTTCTGCTTCTCTGTGCATAGCCCATGAGAAAAAAACTTGAAATCCTTTCCATTTAAGGTGGTCCTAAGTTGAAAACAGTGTAGTTGTGACGTAATTATCGAAAGTGTGTATTAGGAACAGCTAGGCTGGATCGATATACCGGATATATCCGATATACCGGTATTTGTTTAGATACCGGTTTGGCGATATTGACAATTTAAAAATACCGATATTTCGGTATTTTGCTGCCTAATACCGAAATGAAACGCTCTTTCAAGTCAAACTTGCTTACAATCACGTTTAGAAAGCAAAGTTAATACTCACAGATGCATGATTTTGTTCTTACAGTTCTAGCGGCTTTGGTTTAGCAATACCAGACGTCTTGTTTATTAAATCGCCTTAATCGGAAATATAAAAGGTTCTTATTCTGTGATAAAAATGGCGAAATTTTTAAAGGAAAATTTCGACAAAAAAGAAAACTTTGATTTTGGAAGGTGGAAGTACTAGCATTTGCGAAGCAGCGAAAACCTTTTCTGGCTTTTCTAGTTTTTTTACATGCTTGCTAACTTGTTTATGTGTTAGTTTTAAAAATGCAACGTTTCTTATGTTTATAACTATTAGCAACTTACTGAAACACTATCTGAATTTATATACAAAACGAATATTTTTCTGAATGATTCAACACTTCGACCCCCAATCGACGGTCTACTAATAATTGCCGCTTAGCGCTGTTAATTGTTAACATAGCTTGATAATGAGAATCTTGTGACATTTGCACTAATAACAGGATGTGCTACATTAATATTTTGTCAAAACTTGATTTTTCTTGACGGTCAGCACTTCAGTTTGGCTTAAAAAAAAAAAATGGCGGTATATCGGTATTTGCGATATCGATCCAGCCTAGGAACAGCTGCGAAAAATGCAACTATATATTGGGCCCATGGCAGAAATCGAACATGCGGCCCTGCCATTCCGGTGCAGCGCTCTAATCAACTGAGCTTCACAGAGACAGTTGGCGAGCTTTAAAAGAAGTGTCTATATCAGGATTGTGGGCATCTCACTCGACATAACTAGGCCAAAAAAAAAATATGTGGGTTTCCGGTTTCCCGACCCTACCTAGCTTTTGGACGTCGAAATCCCGACCCTAAACTTTTTTATTGGATCATGCTTGTAAGTGTTTCCACTTAGAGGAAAAAGTTTGCGGAAAATTGAAATTTGAGGAAATATTAGGGAAATTTATCTTTGGATGTGGAAGCACTGACTAAACAAAATGGCGTCCGCTTATTCGGAAAATTAAAAAAAAAGTTTAAAAAAAAAGGTTAAAACCGACCTACCCTACCTAAGTTTTTATAAGAAGAAACCGGAAACCCACATATTTTTTTTTTTGGCCCAGTAGTTATTAAAGGGATTATGGAAATTTCGAGTGGAATTTATATACATTTACTAGACCTAACCCTAACCCTAACCCTAACCCTAACCAGGAGCAGTTGCGAAAAATGCAACTAATTAATGTATAAAAATTCCACCCAAATTTCCATA